CGTCGCCCGTCTGTTGGCGTTTCCACAGCCGCTAACGTAAGGGGGAGGAGCCGATCGGACCCCCGCGGCCTCTCGGACTCTGAGATGGAGCTGTGCATAAAAAACGAGCGTATTACCCGTGACTATAGGAAGCCGCTGCTGCCCATTTTTAAGGTCCTTGGTCATTTCGTCTCATTCAGGAGGTCAAAGACAAGTGTCGAGAAAATCGGGACCCGCTATAACTTCTTGAAATGAGATTTTATGGCTCAAGATGACCTCCAGAAAAGGCTCATAGCCAATGATCATTATGGGTCCAGAGGCCAGTTTTACCGACAGAAAAATAGCTTCCTGCCGGAATTGTTCGCCTTAAGACCGCTTCACATACGGAGCGTAAACGGTAAAGCCCTATCCACTTACGTGCTCATCGCGCTTACGCTCCGAATGTGAATTGTGAAGCCAATGATTACGTAAACGTAAACGTAAACGGTAAAACCCTATCCACTTACATGCTCATCGCGCTTACATCGCGCATCGCGTATGTGAAGCGGTTTTTAGGAAAAAAAAAACTCCGGCAGGCGGCTATTTTTCTGTTGGTAAAACTGGCCTCAGGAATTCCCGGGCAGGTTAAGAAAAAATGATTGGCTCGAGGGTACAATTTGGTCGTGATCCAACGGCTTTTACGTGAGCTTTTAACGAAAAACCACCCGCCGCCCCTATATGTACGAGGGTTAAATGGGATATACTAAATGCTTTATGGAGGAAGTGTCATGTTTTAAATTTGATGCATTGGAAATGCAGAAATACCCAAAGAGTTCCAGAAAGGTATGGAATTTCAGTAAACTTGGTTGTGACAGCAATGGGGTCTGGTATGTGGGGGTAATGGCCCTGCCTGGCGCCTATTAAGGGGGCACAACCCCGAGTGACCTGCCGACCACTGGTCTTATGGTACCATCAAAGGTCATTAATATCCATTCGTTAAGGTCTGATAACACGAGGTCACGACAAACAAACAGATTCAAGGTGCTTGTACCTATCTTCAATGGGGCGCATTCATCACACACACAATCATGGCCATAAGGTCGTGACTCGTGAACATTTATGAAAAATAAATCACAACCTCTTGCAATGGTTGTATCATTGGGCTAGTGATAAATGAGACAACAGCATTACTTTTAAATCGGCAGCGCTGCTGTATTTCGCTGAGACTTCTGACCGAAATCGCATGTAATAAAGTTTGACCATGGACCTCTACCTGCAACATATGGTGCTCCGGATCTGATGTAAAATATAAAAAAACTGACCCATGTGTGATTGATGAAATGAAATTGATTGTCTCTCTAGATATGCCGCCCTTCGAGCTTCCGATTCACAAGCTATGGTGACATTTGTCAGAAAATTTCAATGTCAGGAATATTGAAGGGAAATATTTCACCCTTCCTGAAATATAATGACACTAAATGTTTCATAAACCTCTCACATGAAACGTGGAGAGTCAAATGTGCAGCGGTTTTAAACTGAACTCCTTCAGATATTTACCCGGGCTAGTCACCGACCGTGCTGGGAGCTCTAAGATTAATTTGATTGCGATTAATCATGCCTTTTCGTTACAACGGACAAAACAAACATTCACAAACATCAGAAATATTAAAGAAATCGAGGGTGTCCAGCGATAGAACTCTGTTCACAGAGTTAGGAAAGAATCGTATTGGTCACTCGTTGTGTGCGTCACTTCTTATACATATGCTCGGACAAACAGGAAAGAAACGGAAGACCCATATCATAAAGCACAGATTGCAAAGCGATAACTCATGTCCTTCAGCAGTTCTCGTGGATATATGTTACTCTTATGAGATACTATCCGTGACGTAACGACTTTTAATCTCTAATGGTTTCTTATTTTCGTAGCCGTTGCTGCACCTATGCGTGACGGTGGGAAGTATTCGTGAGATCTGCACAGCATTATCTAGACACGCTGGCTGGCCTGATCATGCACTGCGCATTAGGCAGCATTTCAGCTCCACTGGTATCACAATCAGGAGCTCAGAAAATGCAAAAATCTTTTGACAAGCTTGAATAAACTTCCTTTCTGTTCCATAACACCGTTCTATGTACTTTCACTGTTCCTTCTGTGGTGATTTGCCCGCAACACTTTATCGCAATATTACACACAAAGCTGCCGCCCTGCTTTGCGACGAGTGAAAGACCGTCTCCAGAGTAGTGTTAACCCTCGCCCATGTAGGGGGGGGGGGTTGGTGCAACCCCCTGAGGTTTTTCTTAGCTACACGCCGAACCGTTTCAGATAGCCTGCTCAAATTTTCAGTACCCTTTGGGGCATCCTTTGCGCAACTTTTGGTAAAAAAAAATTGTCAAGGTCATGTCAGGTCACGGAGTTATGACGTCATAAAGGGAACAGCCTCCGGCCACATTTACGCTATATTGGAGATTGCTTCACATTGGTATAAATGCCGACTGACCTGACGCACTGATGGATTGTTTTAGAATCACAACTGGCTGATTTGACATTGACACAATGTCCGTTGACATTTTGAAGGTCACTAAAGGTCAAGGTAAGGTCAGTGACCTCGGTTGACCTCTAATGACTTCTTGCACTTGTATGCCTTTTCGGGGTATTTTGATGCCCTGAATTCGAATTTGATATCCATTTCAGGCATCGTCGGTTGTTTCTTGTTGTTTATTTTGGGTCAGGGTCAGGTCAGTGACGTCACACGCCTGACGTGACCCAATGCACAAATGACCTTGCAGACTTCCGATGCTCCCAACGCATCATTTTTAGAGTTATGACATCGAAATACACACCAAACGATAGAGAATTGATCAAGGATCACGATAGTGAAGGTTTCAAGTCGATATCTCTTACCGTTTTGCCGCAATCGGCGCGGAAATCTGAAAAAGTTAGATGTTTCGAAAATTTGACCTTTGACCGGTCATAAGTAGGTCAAATATTGACCTAGGACCAAAAAATATACCACCAATCGCGAGATCTCGTTGAGAGCAATCCGTTGGTCTTTTCCGCTAAGCTCTACGACGCTTCGTTTTCAAACGCCAGGGGGGGTCGCACCAACCCCCCCCCCCCCTGCATGGGCGAAGGTGGCAAAACACCGTTTACGGGCGAGGGTTAATACATCAATAACACCCTTACATGTCTACATACTGAAGATCCAGTTCTGAACACACCGTTCTGGGCATGTTACGAACGAGGCCCAATTGTCACTAAATCTCTGGTAGCTTCAGTTGCCCCGGTCGCAACTAACGACCAATAAAAGACTGTAAATTTGGCTCCTCACGTATTCTTATTGAACCAAACAAAACAGGCAACATACAGCCAAACTGTGCAATGCGACGACAGGTATGTAATGTGAATGATCGGCAGAAGGCCGACCCTACCCGTGAAAATACCTCCCTTGAAAACGGTTAAGCCGTGGTTTATAAGTGACACCTCCGCAGAGGACTGTCCATGGACCAATATGACTCAGAGTATATTGACCATGGGCAGTGGCCGGAACCAGGCACCAAGAGGTCTGGTTAAGAGGTTGGACTACAGTCCCGCCTCTCCCATTTGGACCGCCCAATGCATTTCGGTCAGAAGCTTTCGACAAGACGAGAGTCCCATCTGACAGCCGCCAACGAAACTACATTGAACAAGCCGCGAAGGGCGCTACTAGCGGGCCAGAAGTCCCGCACCAGCAGCCCAACTCAGCGGTCCACCCGGCCCCGACCGACTCTCGACCAAGAGTGACATGCCGCTGCGGCCCCCGACCCCACATCGCGTACGGTCAGGTCACGTGCTCTCCGACCAATGAGCCCACCGCGCGGGCGCCCGCCGGGTAGGCTGTGCCGCCCGCCGCTCGCTGCATCGGCGGCGGCCAGCCGTACCACCCGGCTACCGTAACACAATCTTAACAGGGCATAGATGTTTGTTGCCAGCAGAGCTCGCCAGTTCGTACCTACTGCTTTCCTAAGGCCTTGGTGTTGGGGACGGCTCCTTTGAATAGGAAGGACCTCTGATGGCCTTAACTACGTTTCTAAAGTCATTTTATGTTGATCTTCAACAAGCTAGGCTGCCCCACGATGGACCTCGCATGCGGGTTGCGAGTCTGCGGGTTTAGGGTTTGCGGGTATCATATTTATTCATGGAGTGAGAACATGAACTCTTATGCTCACTCCATGAAGGCTGTGACGCCGATATACCTATAGAAAATTACTTATTGTCTCAATAACAGCACAACGAACCTAACGCCGACACCAACAAAACAGGCCTCAAAACTCGCAGCCCTCGCAGGATGCGTGCCATTAGATAGGCAGTATTCACTCGTCCTCCCTTTTGATGCGAGCAGGAGTCTTTGGCAAATGTCAGCTCTACATAATTAACAGCTTCACCAGTTAACGATTGTCCAATAAACGCAAATCTTTTAGAATTATCGGAATAAATCTTGAGCGAAAGGCAGGCGTCTGGCTCTGGACCCTCTAAATTTTCATTTCCTGCTGCTGAATCTATGAAACAATTAGGAACTTACTATTGGTGTAAGATATGTATACTTATGCGTTTAAATATGTTGCTTTTTACAAAGATGTTTTTCTGTTGAATAGATAAATAGGTACAAGAGCTATTTTAAACAAGAATAATTTTGAAGTGCAATATGACGTTTCAAGCGTTTTCAGACACGGTCTTACATCAAAACCGATTGTCAGCTTGTCTTCGAAAAGCAAAACATGGTCCCACATGCTCTGCCCACACTTCTCAGCACTCACTCCTGACGCCATCATCACCCAACACCACTGCATCCTACGCATTTAAGTGATCCTCACTACTATTTTTACGCTGCCATGTAGGTCCCTTATCACCATCCCTTGAATTGATGAGTTTCTTACCACCATTGCTGGACTTGAGCGTCGATTCCTCACCAGTATTTCCTGGTTAGTCTGGCGGACCCTCACCACGGTTCCTGGCCTGCTGACGGTCCTCCCCCGATCACCTGAGCTACCGCAGCCCCTCTGCTCACCTGGGGTGCTGGTCGGGGCACGGGCAGCAGCGCGGCCGGCTGGCCGCCCTCCAGCCAGCTCCGTTCGGCCAGCGGGCCAGCGGAGGCCAGCGGTCGCTGGTGTAGCGCCAGCAGCGCCGCCAGGCCGACCAGCAGGCGGGCGCACGCGGACCGGGCCGGTGGCGGCGCCATCGGGACTGCAGAGCGGACGGCGCCGGACGACTGGGCACGCCGAGAGTGCTCGGAGGCCTTTTCTAATGTGTCGCCCACTCGGCGGCGCGCGGCGCTGTGCGTGAGAGACGCTCCCGGGGTCGGTGGGTGACCTGGCGTGGGTGATGGAACAGCGGTGATGGGATGTTGTCTTGGTCATAGTGACAAATGTAGGAGGGCAGACGGTTTGTGACAAATGTGACTGACATTGACTAGACATGTGGAACCTGCTGTGGGCGCCGAGAGATATGGGATGATAGCGGCAACTAAACATTGACATCAACGTGGTTGTATAATGTGAAGTGCGGGTATAGCACGGATCCAGCATATTCCTCGGTACTTTTTGATTTCTTTGGTCTGTATCGAAAGTTTAAATCTCTGCTTTCATAAGCATGCGTTACAGATGTAACGGGAGCTTGCAAATGGTCCACGATCCTTGCCATTGAAGGCATGGATATAAACAAACGAATATCGGTCAATGTTTGGCCATCCTGTCCCTTCTATCCCGAATCCAACTGTTCTTGACGTAACTGCACGTGACCGTCAAGACACGTGATACGCGCTCGACCAGGGTTGTTAAACTCAAAATCGTCCAGCTCACATAAGTTGCACAATGACTAAAGCGCCAACATCTTTGACACCCGCCGGCAGATGAGTGTTTATGTGTCACGATTGAGGTGTTCGCATGCATGTGCGCACGTGCAACTCTAAGGTGTCCGGATAGGTGGGTGGCCCGTACACATTACTAGGGGTAAACTTTGCACCTCCCCCTGCTATAGCCTTGTGCTAGCGGGGATGCAAAAATAAAAAAGGTAATCTTTGCACGTGCAAACGTGTGGAGCCTTCCTACCCACATTGTTTTTGAGTCAGATACTATGCCAAATAAGACCACATCTGAGCATGTGGATTTATCCACATGCCCTCCAGTGTTAGCGGTATGTGAAATTAGCAAATACTTTGAAAATTCACATTGTAAAGTAGCTAGGAATAAACAGGTGAATGCACGATTGGATGTGTTTTTGATAATTGAATTTCACCGGGCGAATGGCCTTGTACGCTCAAGATAAAATTAAGTACTATTTAGCACTACACATAGGAATAAGACACCTAAGGGGTCGCAATAATGGACGATTACAGAAACAAGTAAAACAAAAGTAATGATTTGCGAGTTTCGCACACATCAATCACATTTCGGAGGAATAATGACAGGTCGATTGCCGAGGACGGTTACGCGTGGGTTACGGTAATTTAATTTAACACAAAATCCTGTTATCTCCATGGAAGCACTGCGAACAGCAAACACAGACAGGTGTCCAATGCTGCCCAAATACCGGTAAATAGGTATAGTCATGATCATTACAAGAATATAAAAATTTATCGAGATGAGTCTATGTAGTAATAAAATGTAGGAAGTTTCACGAATGCTGGGAGATAGGTATCATATTTCGCTAGCTGCGAGTGATGTAGCCAGATATAACCTGCACCTTCTCTCCTTCCCTTTACCGTCTCCACTCTAAGCTCTCTCTGGAACGATGTTGACTCACTTCGGCTGTGTAAACCCTCATAAATCTATCATTGAAGGTTGTTCTTACTGCATAAATGAACATTGTGTAGCTCTATATTGAAATAAGAGCAGCTAAAAATGGCAAGTCTTTGGCATCAGTACATTCACATTTTGACGAGTAGCTTCTTTGCTTGCGTTACTTAAGCGGGAACAAACACTAAAAACGATCATTTTTTATCAGGAGGTCATGCGAGTGCTGTTCGACATAAAGCTGTTTCATATTAAGCGCTAGGATATTTATAAATCTCACCGGATCTTACACCTACTGGCGCCACGCCGAACCGGCCGTAATGGCCTCTTCATGGAGTTTCGCTCTTAGCCCTGAGTTCGGCCAGGCACAGCGCTAAGTATCCATTGAACGGGCGCTGCCTTTTTCTGCAGTGCAGGCGCCGACGCAATGGCGGGGCTTTCAGTGAAAGCGCTTGTAGCAATGATTTTAATGTGTGCCTGAGATTTCACTGCGGCATAGCTCTCTTATCGGAAAGTGAGAATATAAATAACATTACGAAAATGCGAGAGTATTACCTGCAAATGCATAAAAATGTACTATAGCATCGTTAGTCAAAACACTGGTCGATTTTTACTAAGCTTGAATTATTAATGAAACAAGTTCATGGAACGTTGCACGCTGGTCCGAACTTATTGGCACCAACTCAAAAGCAACTCCTTTTTGTCTAGGCAACAACTTATTTGCATATGACATGACATCTGTAGGTTGCAAGCTTTACGTTATCAGTTCTACTGTCATCGCTTGATGCTTGAATATGGGCATGTGTATCGCTTTGATCACTATTATTAAGCCGGTTTTTGCTATTCTCCCTTTGCAGAATGAATTATATAGGTTGTAAGGTTCATCGCTTACGGGAAAACCACGGCGCGGCTGACCATAAAGTATGCCCTATTTGTTCCTTAAATATCTTCAGTTCATCCACGCATGCGGCCCACAATAAGTCAAAACTATCGGAAGGCTCCTTCAGAGCGATAGATTAAACTGGCTGTACAGAGCTTTGGCTGGATGTGGTAATGTAGATTGCAGTACAGTTTACATGATGAATGAACGGTTAAGTTCTCAGAATTGTTGTTTTGAAGCATGCATAAGTTATGGATGAGTGCCTTATCGGCTGTTCATTGTTCAAGCGGCTCATCAAGTAGTGCCCGAAGAGTTTAGAAGTCCTGTGGGCTGGCTGTGCGTAGAGCGTACTACAGGGCAAAACAATAAAGATGCTCGTCAGCATTCAGACTTGACATGCTCCGATGCATCGCAATGTTATGCAACTATTTTGTCAGCGATACGTTTGACTTCATTTGACGAGTTTGCACCTTCATTCCTGCGTGACGTATCGTGCGAAACGCAACTCCGAGATCATGCGCTGTCGGCGCGCTATGGACAGCAGCTCAGTGACGCATGGTCGGCCAGAGCGTCACGCAGTCGGCCCGGGCCGGGCACAGGCGTGCTCCAGCGATCCGGCGCCGCAATCCTTTCCACGCCACTGCAGTGAGGCACGCGCCGGCGGTACAAAAGCGGGTGGCAGCCGCTGGGAAGGCACCAATCCAGCAGCTGCAGTGTCCGCTGTGTCTGTTGACCAGGTGTTCCAGCTACTCCGTGACCTGACCCGGTCAGGTGTCCCAGCTACTCCGTGACCTGACCCCCTAAGAGCTCGGCCCGGCGTCCGACAGCAGGCTGTCCCCATGGCGCTCACCAGAGGCCTCTGGCTGGTGGCCGTCGTACCAGCGCTGCTGAGTCTGCACAGCGCTGTGCGGCCCAGCTCGGCCGCCACGCTGCTGGCGCCATCTGTCGGCGGAGTCGCCGCAGCCGAGTCTGCGGGGTCGCCGGTAGATGGCGGTCGGCGCGGTGACCCCAGCTCGGACGTCAGCACGCCGCTGTACGGAGAGACGCCGCTGACGCTGCGGCGCGCCGAGAGGGCGGCCGACGGTGCCGTCCAGGGCCGCGGCTACAACGACAAAAAGTACAGCAGCAAGTACGGCGACAAGTACTACGGCGACAGCGGCCACGGCGGCAGCCACTACGGCAACGACGGCTACAAGGGCGGCAAGTACTACGACTCGGAGTACGGTCACCACGGCAACAAGTACGGCGCGAACGGCCACGGCAACAAGAAGGGCTACTACGGCGACCACGGCAACAGCCACCACGGCTACAAGGGCGGCAGCAAGTACTACGGAGACAACCACGACAAGTACCACGGCAACAAGGGCCACAAGTACGGCAACAAGGGCTACTACGACAAGGGCCACAAGAACAACGGCTACAAGAACATCCACCACAAGGAGGACTACCACGCCAAGAAGAAGTTCTACGACAACTACCACGACGACGGCTACCACAACAAGTACAGCGACCATCACGGATACTACGGCGGCGGTGACGGCAAAAAGTACCACGGCGGACACTACAAGAAGGGACACTACGACCAGAAGAAGGGTCACGACGGCTACTACAAGAACGGGCACGACTACGACAAGTACGGCGGCAGCAAGGGCAAGTACGGCCACGATAACCACAACGCGTACAAGGGCAACCACGGCAAGTATCACAGTGACAAGTACAAGAAGGGCAGCCACCACGGCAGCAAGTACGGAGATGGATACGGGGGCGGATACGGCGGTGGACACGGCGGATACGGCGGTGGACACGGCGGATACGGCGGGGGATACGATGGTGGACACGGTGGATACGGCGGTGGATACGGTGGGGGATACCACTAGACGTTAAGAGCTTTAGAGTTCTTGTTACTTGAGCTATTTGTACGAAATGTAGCTCGCTAAATATTGTTGCGTGTGTCGTGTATAACGTTGTGTAGATGTTTTTAATCAAATAGTGGTCGAGTGTTGTGAATCTTGTTTACCTTCAATCATGTATGTCTTGGGGTTAATAAACTTGAATGTTTGAACCTGTCTTTTAACACATAGACTTAGGCATCCCGGTTCGTGTATTGTCTTGACATTATTCAATCGCAATGACGTATCTACATATACACAGTAACAGTTGTATAACTGCATCGTTTGTACGCATAACATGTAATAAATACCAATGCGCCCAAAGTCTAATACCCTACATACAAAAGAAAGGAAATTAAATGCCCCTTCTTACACGGGTGATGCAGTTAACTTGATGTTTTCAATATGCAATTTTAGTCCAGCTGTTTAAATTTCACTAAAAAATGTAACTTACTTTCAGGCAATTACTTAGAGAATCCAGGCAAATATTTAGAGCGGAATCCAGGCAAATCACTGGATTCCGATATCAGTTTCATGGTCATTTCATTTCACCCGCAGTTATCTTTCGTCCTATTTGACACTTATATACCATTGCTGGCTAACAGGTACCTAAACGAACGGAGATTTGAGAATCTCGTTCAAAGTAATTTTAAAGACAAATTTATTAACCGCGCCCCGTTGGGCTCTGCCGAACAACGCGCCCCGTTTGGGGGGGGGGGCATTTTGCCCCCCCCCTAAGATCTCGAGAACCACGCAACCTAGCGACAAGCGACAAACGGTGTTGGATAGCCCTATCAGGGAACTACCTTGTGACCCAATTTTATTGACCTAGGTCAAACCGATGACGTCACAGGTCAGGTCAAAGGTCCAATTTTCACCGTTTACAGGCATTTCAAGAAATGCGTTGTAAAATCGAGTAAAATGCATTTCATTGAAAATCATCGATGGGGAAATGTTCTTCAAACACATATTTTGCTATTTGAGGTCACTGATACCAGGTCAGGTCACAGAGGTCAGGTCACTGGGGGGTCACAATATGAAAGTGTCGTTTGATACATGTTTTATGGTCCATTTTACATGACAAATGCGATTATGTGGGTCAGGCAGCCTTTGGGGCCAGCTTAGGTCACGTTTTGGTCAAGGTCAGGTCAAGGTCAGATCAAGGTCAGGTCAAATTAGGTCAAATTTCAAAGTTGATATTTTTGCATAAAATGGGTATCGAATCGATGCAGCTCGTCACGGGGAGTTCAATAGTGGTCTTTGTTTTGCCGTACGTGGTCTAGAATCGCTAAAAATTGAGTTCAAAAATTTGACGTCATCATTCTTGAACAGTTTTTTCGCTATAACTTGGCCAAAAAACGAGATATCGATCTGAAATTTGGTGTGTATATAGAAGAGCGCAGGGACTATCACATATATTCCGGTTTTTTGAAATTCGGAATTTTTTTAAAGTTTTTCAAAAAAAAT